ATGCATGTCAGTCCGTCTGTCCGTCCGTCCGTCCGTCTGTCCATGTATTCTTGTGAACAAAATGCAGGTCGCATTTATTACCCGATTGAGATGAAATTTTCCAAACAATATATTTTTGGCCCAAGGACGAACCCTATTGAAATTGGTGAGAATCGGATCAAATTTAGATATAGCTCCCATATATATCTTCATCCGATTTCGGGTTAAATGTGCACCAAATGTCCACTATCAGTCCAAATTATCTGAATTTTGGCACACCCAACCGAGTTCGGCCTAGAAGCAAGTATATCAAATTTAGTGAAAATCGGTTCAGATATAGCTATAGCTCCCATATATATCTTTCATCCGATTTGGTGTTTAAGCCTCTCACATTCGTAATATGCACTCCACAAGAATGATATTTGGTACCAGATATAAGATACAGCCCAGAAATAGCTGTTTGTAATTTTATCGAAATCGGTTCAGATTTGGATATAGCTCCCATATATATCTTCATCCGATTTCGGGTTAATTGTGCACCAAATGGCCAATATAAGTCCAAATGGACTGAATTTTAGTACATCGGACCAAATTCAGCCTAGAAGCAAGTATATCAAATTTAGTGAAAATCGGTTCAGATATAGATATAGCAACCATATATATGTTTCATCCGATTTAGAGTTTTAGTCCCATACATTCGTAATATTCACTCTACAACCGTGATATTTGGTACCAGGTATTAGATGGAGCACAGGAATAGCTGTTTTAAATTTTATCGAAATCGGTTCAGATTTGGATATAGCTCTCATATATATCTTCATCCGACTTCGGGTTAAATGTGCACTAAATGGTCAATATCAGCCCAAATCACCAGTCTAGAAGCTAATACGGAGAAAATTTGGAGAAACCCGGTTCAGAGATAGCTATAGTTCGTAAAATGCACGATAGAATTAGATAGATTTTGATTTTGTACCAAATATCTCATAGAGCTCTGAAATGCCCTGTATAAACCTTTTTACGAGAGCTCTTCTAAATATGCATAGTGGTGTAGGGTATCATATAGTCGGCCCCGCCCGACTTTTGAACTTTCCTTACTGGTTTGTTTTGATACGGACACGTGACTGTCATCCTGATTAGATTGATACCTTGATCAATAATTAGAAAAAAAAACACTTTTTCAAATAAAGCATTTAAACTAAGACCACTGCTGTCAGGGTTTTTGGGTTTCAATCTAAAAATAAATTTTAACTTCCTTAAAAAAAAAAAAAAACAATAGATTAAATTCCATTTATTTATTTGGTTTTTGTTGTGGTTTTTTGCTATTTCACAGATGTGGTATTTTATTATTTTATTTTTTTGCCTTCCCTGTATTCTCTGCCTTTGATCGAGTTTTTTTATTGTTTCGTTCTCATCTCGGCTTCGATTTATTGTTTCTTATGACACAAATACACTTTCACAATCAATAAAATAAAAAGAAAAACAATAGCAGTATTTAAAAAAACACACACAACAGAAAAACCAAAACAATAATAACAACAACAAAGATGCAGAAAAAAAAAACAATTCATATTTTTTTCATTCGTTCAAAAATGACCCAGACCTTTTTGTCAGTCTTAACCGAGATAATTCGAAATCGAATGCAAAACTGCAACAAATTTACATAACTCTTGGTAGTTGTCCGAGTGTGTGTGTGAGCGAGTCCGTCTGTGATGAACGTTTATATGTATGTTTTCGCCTTTGTTATAGAGATGTAGAGAATTGAATGCATTGTAAATCGTATCTATGGACGAGGATTTTCACATGTGTTGGTTAGACATAGTTATTATTTTGTTTCGCCTATGTATATATGAGCTGTTGTTGTTTGGCAATTGTGTGCGTGTGTGTTTCTGGGCTCATTGTTTCATGGGCCACTACCACGCATTCAAATAGAAAAAAAAAAAACAATGATAAGACATCCAAGTGCATTGAAATATAAAAAGGATATCCAAAGGCCATATACATTTAAGGCTTTAAATTCATGTCTTTCTTGTTGCAATTTTTTGGGGGTTTTGAAAATCGACATAAATTTATAAGCTGGAATGGAGTATACAGTGTGAGATAAAAACAAGTAAGCAAAGGCTATAGTCGTGCGGGACCGACCATGTGATACCCTACAACAGTTTGGATATCGGATATATATCCGATATATTTACTATCGACATCTACGTAACGGTCAGAATTTACCTGTTCGTCCATTTATGATTTCGCCGGGACTAAAAATATTCGCGGTAAAATGGAAATTTGACTTTTATTTATCACAAATATTATAGTCTTTTTCATCAACTAAATATTACTCGATGACCATCAAAATCGGAAGGCTTCTGCCCAGCCCGAAGCTTTAGCCCCATGCTAATTTCCGCGTCGATTGGTCCATAATTGCGACCTGTAGAGCAACTGCAAAATAAGGATTTTTTTTCAGTTTTTGGTCCATTTCGACCCCTATATATTGTGCGATCATCTCCAAAAGAAATAGGGTTCTATTCTGACCTCCATTCTAAATTTCGTGAAGATCGGGCCATAATTGCGACTTGTAGATTGATTACAAATTAACATGGACAGACGGACGGACGGACATATATAGCTAGATCGACTCAGCTCGACGAGATAGGAAGATCCATATATTCTCTCCTATGTGGGAAATCAATATTTGGAGGTGTTACATAATTGTTGGCCCAATCAAACTTATAATACCCCCAACACAAAGTGTTGTAGGGTATAAAAATTGAAACAAAGACAAACGCCATGATTTTTACATTTTTTTTTAAACTTTATTGAATGAAAACAATAATGTCGGAAATATCATCAAATTTTCGAATAAGTTTAGATTTGTTCGAATTGGTCACCTCTGGCACAAATTACGGCCAATGAAACCGTCACACGCTGCCCGAATGTTGCTCTGCGGTATTTTGGCCCATTCCCGGCGAAGCGCTTGCTTGAGGTGATCGACGCTTTGGTATTTTTTAGTACCAATCTTGCTTTTCAAAATTCTCAAGACACAATAGTTCAACGGATTGGTATCCGAAGATTTTGGTGGCCGTTGTGCGCTGGAAATGAAGCAAGAAACCTCATTCCTATCCTATTGGAATGTCCAAGGTCTGCGTACAAAATTTTTGCGTACCCAAGGCTTTAATACACCCTCCAGAATATTTTTGCAATAATATTCGGCATTTATTCTGATGCCACGGTCGATTAAGACGAGCGGAGAGCGACCATCGGCTCTTAAGTTCTGGTGGCCAACCAAAGAAGCACATTTCAGCTGACCTTTTTGGCAAGTAAACACGATCATTTTGTTTGTTTACAAACTGCTGGACATCGAATGTTTTCTCAACGGAGAAAACCAAATTCGGCAGTTCAGCACTTTCTGCCAAGCGAAGCAAGTCTTTAGCTCTTTTGAGTCTTTTTTCTTTCTGTTGCGGTGTAAGTTCTTGCTCTTTTTTGGAATTTCAATGGCCGAATGGAATATTGCTATATGTTCAGTTCTCGAGCTATTTTTCGGCCACTGCGACGCAGGTTTAGATGAAGTCGCTTCTTTACTTTTTGAACCATTTCTGCTGATGTTGCTGTTTTCTTCCGTCCACTTTCATGACGTTGGGCTACGCTACCAGTATCACGATAACGAGCGATGGAACGAGACGCAAGATTTACTCACATTTTAATGCTGGAGTGCTCTAACGATAGCCACTTGTGGTTTTCCAACCAAATATAATACGAATAATTTTTTTTGTGGAAAATTCTTACCAAAATGCTTTTGTACGCTTGTAGAAAATATAATGAGCTGTCACTGGAATAATTTTAACAGCTGTCGGACGAGTGGTTTAGAAATGACAGCGGTCTGAAGTTGGTTGCAGTTTTTTCATCTTACCCTGTATATGGGAGCTATAGCTATATATGAACCGATATTCACCAAATCTAATGTAGTTGTTTCTAGACTGAATTCGGTCGGATGTGCCAAAAATCAGCTCATTGGGTCATATTGACCATTCAGTGCACAATTAACCCGAAATCGGTCGAAATACATATGGAACATTTAAATTTGAACCGATTCTTACAAATTTCAATTAGGTTCGTCCTTGGGTAAAAAAAAAATTGATTGGAAAATTTCATCTCAATCGGATAATAAATGCGACCTGCATTTTGTTCAAAGAATACATTGGCAGACGGCCTGACATGCATAAATCAACTCATAAAGTGATTCTATGAGATCCCCAAAGGTAACTATGGGTCTATCTCGATCCTTTCTACGTGTTGCAAACAAATGCACAAAGACATAATACCCTTACCCCTATGTGGTGTGGGCTATAAAAATTGAATTTCGAATGAGAATCGTAATCTAGAAAGAATTCAAAATAAGATTTTTTTGAACTAAACGTTGTTTTTTTAAAAAAAATATTGAATTTTGAATTATGATCGTAATTTAGAAAAAAAAACTTTAGAAGTAAAAAAAATTAAAAAAAAAGATTTTTCCTGAACTTAACGTTGTATTTGAAGAAATTAATTTTGAGTTAGGAGCGTAATTTAGAAAAAACAATTTCAAAACAAGATTTTTTCTGAACTTAACTTAAGAGGAACAACCCCTAGTAAAAATCCAAAACTTTAATTTTTAATTTATTTTTATTAAAAATTTAAATATTTAAAAACTTTCAACCGTTTAAAAAATTCTTAAAATATTTTCAATAAAAAATTTTCATCTTGGCAAAAGCCATGCCATATAAATATTATTTCAATATAATTGTGGTATTGTGGAAACCACAAACACATCAGCAGCAGTAACCACACACATTTACACACACACAAACACTCTCATTAAAGAGTTTTTGCTTTCGAAATAACTTTGAAATGATTTTTAGGGAAAATAGTTTCAATTTTTCGATTTCATTTTTTTAATTCGATTTAATTGCCGCCTAGACTAGGCTGCCCGTTCTTCTTTTCAAAAATCAAAATTGTAATTTTCAAATTTTTATTTATTTTCCTTATTTTTTCAGATTGTCTTGATTACATTTAAGGCCTCTCATCCACTCCAAAAAAAGAAAAGGAATTCCAAAACGCACAGCCCAGAAGATAATCTCCATGCTCTAGTGGAGCCACAAAAAGGCAGCCAGCCCGCCAGTCAGCCATCAGGGCCATTTAGCCGCAATTAATGCCAAATCAAATTTACTGTGAAAACATTCAGCTGTTGTTGCACAATTTGAGTTTTTAATTAAAACTCATGTGGATCGCAAAGTTAAGCAAATATTTGTTTTGAAATTTTGCAAAAGTTAAGACAGCCAGGCAGCCATACGTTTTCCCGAAAGAAGCCATAAAGAAACATCCCAACACAGGGAAATATTTTTCGTTGGAGAGGAAATATAAAAACATCCCTCAGAAAAGAGAGGGAGAGAAAGAGAGAGAGAGAAGGGGCAAAACCAATTCCAGCGGAAATGTTCAAAAGCAAATGATTTGAAAATATTGCTACATCTTTTCCGACCTTCCAGAACGAGTTTCGGAAAAACAAAAGCCCTTTGCAGAACACCCCAGACCAAAACGGCACTCTACGGATCTTTCACAGCATACGAACAAAGGGCAGTTGCTAGAATACCATGGAAAAATTAAAAACGCATAAATATCACCTACGAAGGGCCACAACTCGAGCAGCTCACACACAACGACGCCTCGTACGCCACATTAACCTAAAGAATTATGCAGCGTTCATAATTGCAACGATATTTGTTGTCATTACGGCCTGTGTGAAAAGTGCACACCTAAATGTCAACACACTGTCGTTGCAGTCGGCAACGGGGGGAGTGGCGCCCAACCTGCCATCGTCGTCCATAAGAGATGGGGACGACTCGGCCACATACTCAATGCCAACATCAATACCGCCACCACCACCTGCAGCAAATTCCAGCTCGTCGTTGCCATCATCATCCTCATCGGCGTCCTCATCATCCTTGTCCTTGTCAGAATTAGAGCAAATACCATTAACAATCCTGGAATTACAGGAATCGCCTGGGCAACAGCATCCACATCAGCAGCAGCCTGCGTACCAAAGTCAGCCACAGCATTTGCCATTGCTTGACACTGCAACAGCCACACGAAATGCCTTAAATACTGCCGCCATAGAAGATGATGCCAACACATTACGGCTCACACCTAAACAAGATAAAACTCTCGACGAAGAGGAGGCCGAGGAAGAAGAGCAGCAGCAGCGGAAAGAGGAAGATGAGTACTTTTCATTACAAAATATTCAAAGTTCCATAAAGGAAGGCCAGCGGCAACAACAACAACACCACCACCAAAGTCATCCACATTCCGGTCATCAGTATCGCCACAAACACCATCAACATCAACACCAGCATCAACGTCGGCCACGTCCTCAACATCACCATGAAGAGCCGCCACAAGCTGAACAGCTGAAGTATCATAATGAAAGCCCCGAACATAAACATAACCTACATCAGCAGCAGCCTCCTCATCATCATCATCACCAGCACCAGCACCACCATTATCAGTCTCAACAGGAATTTGTGGAACAGCAACAACAACAACAATCGTCACTGCTCTCAGAGGAAGGTGTTGTTGACCATAATAATCAGCCATTGGCACAGGATGAAATTCCCATCATTACGGAACGCAACCACCACCCGCATTACCCTCATCAGGAGGCCCAGAATATTGGTGGCAATGACAGAAATTCTAATCAAGCTCCATGGAATGGCCATTCTTACCGCAGCCGCTTTTCCATTGAGGATTTGTTGCACACCAAATTCGAGAAGAAGATATCGAATGACATCTACATGGATCCTTGCAAAGCGGGTAAGTCGTCTGCCTTCGTTCGCAACACAAATTGCATTTCGAAATTCCCATTCATTTGATAATGATGAACAATGAATAAGAGGGGAACCCTCACACCGACGCATGCACGTTTATTATGTGCTGCACAGTGCGTTCAGATGCAGAATTTGGGGGAAAATTAAGAATTAAAATTAAAAAAAAAATAAAAATTAATTAATAACTAATTTAAAAAAAATTAAAGGTTCGGGCTGCATAGAAATTTGGGATGACGGATTTGATGGATATGTTCTTGGTAACTTGGGCAAGTAATTTTTGTTTTTTTACAAAATATCGGGTGGTAACTAATATGGGGCACCATTATTTTTTAAATTTTTGAAAAACATTCAAGTTAAGATGGCGTGCTTGTCTGGGCTATAATTTGTTCGAAAGTATTGCTGGCAAAAATCCCAAGAATATCCTCGATGGGATCATTAAAGGGGTCTTTTAAGCCATTTAGATGATGGATTTAGATTTTGAAATTTTTTCCTCTTTTCCGAAAACACTATATACCTGAAATGCAAGGATTCCAGGGGATTTTAATCCGAACATCTCAAAAAATATAAAAGAAGGGAAACTCTATTTAGGTTACTTTGCTGTATTAGGATTCAAAGCGACGATACGTCTGTGTTCTATTTTTAGCTCAACTTCCATGTACCTAGATTCAATGTTCTGCCACCGGAGCTAGAACCCATTATGAACTACAAATTCCATTTTTTATACAAACCCGTGGAGAATATTGGGTAAAACTATCAAGAAAACCTGGACCTATATATACAATGATCCGCTACTGGAGCTAATACCCATAACGAACAAAAATACCAATTTTTGGACAAATTGGTGGAAAAATGTGGCTAAAACCATCGAAATACCGAATATTGGGAGGTACCGTTATATAGGGGCTATATGAAAACGTTGACCTATATATATATAATCTTTCGCCAAAGGAGCCACACATAACAAAGTTAAAAAAAAAACAATTTTTAAAAAATTGGTGGAACAATGTAGCTAAAACAATTAAAATACCGCATATCGGATATCCCAAAACGTGAAACGATATATCTCAATTTCAATACCAACTCAATACAAACTTCTGTGTCAAATTTTAAACCTCTACGTCAAATAATATGGACTGTGTCGTGATTTCCACAGACAGAAAGACGTACATCCATATGTCCAGGCTACACATGAACAGCGACCTTAATACCAAATTTTAGAATCCAAGCACTATCTGTAAATTGTACCAAATATAGTACCATTTAGAAATTTCGGCGCACAAGACACCAATGCAAAATTTAAAAATTTTAGCTTCATCCATTCAACCTAAACTAAACCATTTCAAATTTAGTACCATTCAGTACTTTTGAGGCACTTGTAGTAGAAAATTTCAAAACCACTTTCTTATATCAAACATACTTTCCAGTCTTTATTTTCATACGAACTTTCAAGTTTTAGTATCATCCTTTCGCATAATACCAAATGTTACCATTTTAGAAGTTTAGTACCATTTTAGAACCTTTCGTAACCTTAAATTTCGATTTTCCAAAAATTCTAATTCTAGCTCATTCAGAAATTCAGAATTCTAGCTCATTCCGTTTATCCAAAACACAGTATTTAATTTTTAGTACATTTATGTGATTTACGTACTATTTTAGTACGGATTTACAAAAACCCATCCTATGCTTACACTCCAAGACTAACCGTTTCTCAGTCAGTCAGTTATTTTACTACTCTTTATACCCTACACACACAAAGTGGTAAGGTTAATTACTTTTGAGGATCTTCACAAAATCACGTTCTAAGCCGATTTATGCATGTCAGTCCGTCCCTCCATCCGTCTATTTATGTATTTTTGTGAACAAAATGCAGGTCGCATTTATTAGCCGATTGAGATAACATTTTCCAACCAATATTTGTTTGGCCCAAGGACGAAGCCTATTGCAATTGGTGGGAATCGGTTCAAATTTAGATATTACTACCATATAATTTTTTAACCGATTTCGGGTTAATTGTGCACCAAATGTTAACAAGTACTTTAAATTTGGTAAAAATCGGTTCGGATATAGCTAAAGCTCCCATATATATGTTTCATCCGATTCGGGGTTTCAATTCCTTTGCATGCGTAATATACACCCCACAAGTATGATATTTGGTTCCTATGTCAAATTTTATTGAGACCGGATTAGGGGAGGTAGAAAGAGCATAAGAGCAAGTAAAAAAGCTATAAGTTCGGCCGGCCGAACTTTTGAATACCCATTTGGAACGAATTTGGCAATTTTCAAAAAAAAAAAAAAAAAGAAAAACCAGTAAAGAAAGTCCTAATGTCGGGCGGGGCCGACTTTATGATACCCTACACCACTTTGCTAATTTAGTAGAGCTCCACGTAACATTTAAAAGTTTTTATGGGAGGATTCAATCATACACGCTATGATTATAATTATAATTTAAAGTTCAAAGGACCAAATATGCCGAAGCATTTGTATCTTTTAAATTCGGACTTGTATTGCCCATTTGGTGCAAAATTAATTTAAAATCAGATAAAGATATATATGGGAGCTATATCCAAATCTGAACCGATCTCGAAAAAATTTTGCAAATATATTTCTGAGCTGTATATGATATATTTCCTGAAATATCGTTGTTACAGAGTGCATATTACGGCTGCGGAGGACAAAAATAACAAATCGGATGAAACATATATATGGGAGCTATAGCTATATCTGAACCGATTTCGATCAAATTTGTCATACATATTTTCAGGCCTGATTTGGTTGTATGTGCAAAATTCCATACTATTCGGGCTGATATTACACGTTTGGTGAACAATAAAAGGCAAATCGGACGAAGATATATATGGGAGCTATATCTAAATTTTGACCGATTATCTCCAATTTCAATAGGGTTCGTCCTTGGGCCAAACAAATGATTTGTGAAAAATTTCATATCAATCGGATAAAAAATCGGATTTTGTTCACAAGAATACATGGACAGACGGACGGACGGACAGACGGACAGACGGACTGACATGCATAAATCAACTCAGAAAGTGATTCTATGGAGATCCTCAAAAGTAACTATGGGTCTATCTCGCTTCCTTTTCCATGTTACAAACAAATGCACAAAGACATAATACCCTTACCACTATGTGGTGTAGGGTATAAAAAGAATCCGTTAAAAATTCTGTTAAAATATTAAAAAGACGGAATGTAGCCGTTATATTAGGGTCTATACTACGATGTGGACCTGCATGGGCAATTTTTGTCACAAGCCATTATTATATTCTAATGCGAAACTAAAAAAAAAAAATAAAAAGGCAAAAAGTTCGGCCGGGCCGAGCTTTGAATACCCTCCACCATTTGGGACGAATTTGGCAATTCTCAACAACAATAAAATCAGTTACAAATTCTGTTAAAATCTTAAAAATACCGAATGTAGCTGTTATATTAGGGTCTATATGACGACTTGGACCTGCATTGGTAAATTTTGTCATAATCTATCACAATATTCAAATATAGTTAAAATCATCAAAATACCGAATATCGGGAGGTACCGTTATATGAGGGCTATACGAAGACGTGGACCTGCATAGACAATTTTCCGGTGAATTATGTCGCTTAAATAACCAAAATACCGAAAATAAGGAGGTGTCCTCATATGGGAACTATACGAAGACGTGGACTTGCACAGACAATTTTCTGTCATCGGCTTTAGTATCCATTACGAACTTCAAACGCCAAATTTGAAACAATTCGGGTGAATAATGTCGCTTCAATCACCAAAATACCGAAAAAGGGGAGGTACCATTGTATGGGAACTATACGAAGACGTGGACTTGCACATACAATTTTCATCGACTTTAGTATCCATTACGAACTTTAAATACCAAATTTGAAACAAGTACGGTGAATAATTTCGCTAAAATCATCAAAATACCGAATGTCTGGGGGAACCGTTATATGGGGGCTAAACGAAGACTTGGACCTGCACAGACAATTTTTTGTCATAGGCTGTAGTATACATTGCGATCTTCAAATACCGAATTTAAAAAAATTCCGATGAAAAATTATCAAAAAAAAACCGAATATTGAGAGGTTCCGTTATATGGGTGCTATACCAAAACGTGGACCTACATGGCCCATTTTTAATATCACAAGTCCTGCAGACATAATATACATTTGAGTAAAATTGTATTAACCTACTTCATTTCGTTCGGAAGCTAGAGTGATTTCCACAGACTGACAGACGGACGAACATCGCTAAATCGACATAGAATTTTATGCTGATCAAGAATATATATACTTTGTGGGGCCTAAAATGTATATTTCGAGGTGTTACAAACGCAATGACAAACTTAATATATCCTCCATACTATGGCGGAGGGTATAACAAAAAATGGCGGATTTTTTTTTATTAAATTTGAACAAAGTTCCAAGTAGGTCTGTAAAGTGGTTGTTAGTGACTCCTAAACTAATGTCAAATACAGGGTTTCCCTATATTTGACGGACCCATGTTTTGTTATGCGACTTGTGTGCGGTGGAGCGCCGTCTTGTTGAAACCAGAACTGCCTGATACGCTTTCGACGAATAATTGGCATCACAAAATTGGTCATCTTGTCGTGATAACACTCCTGATTGATGGTAACAGCATGGCAATTTTCGTTTTGGAAGAAAACGGACCAATGACTTCTTCTGTTGAATGTAAATTTTAACTATTTCAGAGCGCTCGCGTGGCGTGTAATGGTTCATGGTAAAAATCTGCTTGGACTGACGCTTCAAACGCGGTATGTCATTAAGCGATGTGACATTTCTGTCAAAAGTTATGGCGTTGCCAGATGGGTCCGTCGAATATGGGCAACCCTGTATAATGGTTAAAGATTGAGGTTATGTCTTTTGAAAAAGCTACGAACTCAATTGGCTGTAGGTTTGGTCCAGGTAAGGTTTTGCTCCTTGCGTTCGTATATATGTTTCGTACTTGCAAGTTTCATC